ATTACTTGACAAGAAAAAATGGATGTGTGATTATGCATTATAACTGATGGATGTAATAAAATATGAATGTAGTTCACAAGTGAGAATGCTCTCTTCCTTCTAAATTATAAAAAATGAACAATAAAGATTAGTTTTTTTACATCAGATATTTTATTACAAATAATCATTTTGCTAATGATGAAATATTACAAATAAAAAATTATTAAATCACACATTACTAAAAAGTAATGGTGACCCTCACATAATGAAATATCATGTGAAACTGACTTATTGTGATTTATTTAATTATACTTGGGCTAAGTGATTGACTGACTTAATGCTTATCATGACTGTATATAAATCGACTGACTTATTGAAACTTTTTGGTTGAGTTAGGTCAAAACTGACTTATTGAGTTTACATAAACTCATTGTTCTGTAAATCATTTCCAAAATAACCAAATTCCGTTTTGATATTTGAAGCATGTTTTCTACCAATTGAGTATTTTGTTGTTGGTCATAATACCATCTAAATATGGAAAACCCTTTTGCAACTGGCAATATGAGGACAAAGGGAAAGATTTTGATTGCATTATTTTGAAGGTGATCAAGAAACCAATAAGGGAGGAGAAAGAAGATGGATAATTAAACAAACTTGGAACCAAAAGAAAGGAAAGATTTAAAAAATATTGATAAAGAGTTCATAATTAAAGGTTAGTGATCCAAAGAAATAGGAATTCAAAAGGGTATTGGCCAAAAGTTCATATTTTACTGAGAGAAAAAAGAGGCAGGCAAGGGAAAAGCAAAAAAGGATCAATAATTCCTTGTTATAGTAGAACTAAATCCTCAGAAAACGAAAATTATGCATGGTTCTTCTTTATTTTCCACAAGGAAATTTAGGGATTATTTACAAAATAATCATTCAAACTTAACATTAAAGGATAGAATTATATTTATGTGATGAATTATATGAAAAAGGTTTAATCTACACAGTAGTAACATATTAATACAGGGAGGAAGTGACCAATATATTATAGATTCGGGATTATGTGGAAAAATTATCAAATAAGATCCATGGAATTGTACCATATATTGTACCAGAACTATTTAGAGGAAAAAAGAACACAATATAATCAGCATTGGAATGTCAGTGTGGGAAATATTGGCAAGCCATCCACCATTTGATAATAGAGCTCATAATCATTTTTAATGATAGATATATGTGAAGGTTTATGACTAGCAAATATTACCAAGAATGATTATGCACAAATGATGCAAAGCTGTTGAGATATGGATTCAACTAAGTGGCCAAATAATTAGAAAGCTCTGAGAATTTGCTAATAATAAATTTAAAACTGAAGATCTTACTTAATGAAAACAGTAGTGATGTTTGTGGTGTAAATTTCCTCTAATTTGTTATAAGTAAATGTATAGAGCTCTTCAATAGTTGGTCTCTTTGTTGGATCCATATCTCAACATATCTGCATCATTTGTGAATAATCATCAGGCATTCTTGGTAATATTAGTGGCCATAATAATAATAGTAGTAATAGTAATAATAGTAAGCAAAATATTAAATTGATGAAATTGCTAAAAAGTGGTGATAGTTTATTTAAGTGAAGAATTTAATATTATTATTTAATTATTAAATTGTTTATTTATTTATTAATAATGTGATTATTTATATAATTATAATTTTTATGCAATATAAGTGACATCTCCTTCCTTATTTTTATTTCCTTTCTCATCATTAAATCTTTTAAAATTTAATAAAATATAATATTTGCAAATCTCTGCTTTTCTTACCAATCATTCATTATGCAACATTTATAAAATTTTTATTTTGGAAGATCATTAGATTTCAGATTTATTGGTTGACTGATACACCTGACTTCTTTTCATTGAAAATCAATCCGTGGTTCATCATTCATGGCACCCATATTCCAAGACTGTTATTGTGCTCTTTTAGAAAACTTTTCATTTTACTCGTTTAAAAACTATAAAAACTTGCCTGGAATACACCCCGAAGCTCGTGAGGAGTAGTAATGGCCATACAATCTTATAAACATTTTTTTAAGTGGTGGCAGTTACTTTAATGCAACTTTTTGTAACACTTTGAAACTTTTTTCATGATAAAATTTATTTTAGCAATGATGCTACTACCATTTTTTCAAAAAGCTAGTTGGTTATAAAGTGTTAAAAATTATATCTAATTTTTCACTTTCTATGAAAACATAGAATCCCATATATACTAATACTCCTCAGATCTATCCATTAAACAATAATTACGATGATTATCGTAAAGTTGTTGAGTGCACTTTCTGAATGCTTGATCGTTCGTTTCTTGAGGCACTTGTTCCAATTCGATGACCGTTGTTCTTCGTTCTTGTAGACTCGGTATCTTTTGATTTGAACTCTAAATTTTTGTTAACGGATTTTCTTTATCAAAAAAATGTAAGCAGTTGGTGATGTTGTTATTTAACATATTTATAATTCGTACTCTTAAATTATCCAAGTAAAAAAAGGATATACTAATTGAACTTTAAAGAACCATTTTTGAAAGGGAAAATAAAAAAATGAAATAAGATAAT